ATAAAGAAAAGCATCGTAAGCAGAAATGAGAGCGTTGACATTAATTAATATGAGAATGAAAACATTATCATCGGAGGTTGAATCATCATCACTATCATTATTATCATAATTTTAATCATAAATGTGTAGATAGAGATAAAGATGGCGACTGTTGCGTATTAAAAGATGAGATTTTAAAGTTTCTAATCGACTGTGAAACGATATGTAAGATCAGTTCAGTGGCTCGTAACTGGAGGCCGAAAAGCGAATTTAATGAGATGGGTGATATTTTAATTTCTCTAAATATTTGCTGACATTGGACCATATATATAATATTTACATTATTCAGACTATTGTCCTCATCTTTGTTGCCATAATTATTACAACGTTTCGGCCGTTGTACGCTCCGGCCTTCTTCAAGTAGTTGAAATGTCGAACTGAACCTTTATTTCGCTCACTAGGGTAGACTGTCCTAGTTCTACGTGCCATGTCGATCAGAGCGAAACAAAGGGTTCAGTTCGACATTCCAACCACCTGAAGAAATCCAGGGCATAAGACGGCCGAAACGTTGTAATAAATATGGTGACAAAGATGAGGACAATAGTCCGAATAATGTAAATATTGTACATAATACCTCATCTCAGAAATATAGATAGACCATATATATATTTAGGTACATCCAAAGAAATGCGATTAAAATTAATTTTAAAAAATGAAAATACTTTCTTGAAGATTTTATTTTAGTTTTAATTTCAAGCTAGTAGTAATTTAATATTTTCAATAAGCAATGTATTTTGATATATTTCAAAACTAATTTAAATTGACTGGAAGGATATTTTTTAAAATCGTTAAAAACCACTGATTTTAGCCCCTTTAAGCACCTCTCAGTACAATGTAATTCTCTTTATTAAAAAAAACTTTCAAAAATAAAATATACTTTTCTGAAACTTTATTTGAGGAATATTACCTAATTAAAATTTTAATTAATCTGATTTGAAACAAATATTACTTACTTTTAGTTTAAAATATTGTAGAAATGCATCTTGTAACACTGAGGTAGGTGTTTATTTAAGGTGTTGATGCTTTATTAACACACAGAAATTTAAATAATTTTTCTACGGAGGGCATATCTGTAAAAATTTCTCGACAAAAAAATCTGAGCGTCTTTTTATGTAATTTTTAACTAACCAGTATTCTCAAAATCTAGGAAAATATTCTCCTTAATCTTCTTTGGATTGTTACCGCTTTTATTTTCTGATAATGTCGTATATAGACGTCCGTATTTACAAAAATCTTCATGTTTATGCACACACACAAAAAAGTCAAAATTCTTTTTAAAATACCGGGGGCGTTGAATTGTAATAAGTTATTCCATTCATGATTAGTAAATATAGTTTATAATTAATAACAATATCACCTAACCTGTAAAAATTATTAGAGCATTTTAAAACTTTATAAATTATTCTAATTAAAATTACAGCAAAATGAAAACAATTCTTGTAAAAATACATTATTCATCTAAAATACTCATAAGACAATAGTGTCCATAATATATAAAAGTATATTCATAAAAGTAATTAAAAGCTTTTCTAATTAAATGGTATCTTAGTTTTATTGTAGTTTTTATTTTACGATTCAGAGCAGATTTTGTGTAACAGGAGATCCTGTTTTACAAAAAATAATAAATAAATAAATAAAATAAAATTAATAAAAAAAATAACGATTTAAATTCCTGGAGAAGTTCTGTTTATTAAGTGATGTAAAAATTAATTTCTCAAAATTTTATAAGTGTGTGCGTAGGGGGTATCAGATGTAAAAAATAATATTTTTATCAAGATTTTCTAAAAAAAACAAACATTTGTAAAATAATTTCATTCATTTGTGAATAAATCCTGAAAATTTCATTAAAATCCGGCAATTATTTGATTTTTGCAAGTATTTCTAAATCAATGTTTTTCACCGTCTAGAAAGAGAAGCACATGGATAATTAGTCAAAGAAGCCCACCAGTACTAAATGTTTATTTTCTTTCGTAGTGTGACGACAACTTCGTCATCTTACTTTTACGTGGCTCTTTATTTCTGTCTGAATAAGATGTCGATGCTAGCAATGGAAAAATATTTCTCCTATTTGTATTTCCCCCGTTATGAGCATTATCATGCCCGTGATATAATGACACCTTATTTTACGGACAGAACGGAATGGCAGAAAGGAAAAAAAATGACCAACATGCTTTGTTCTCAGAGAGATTTTTATACTTCTAAGACACACAAACTATACATACATATATACACGTGCCCTATGCAGATAATAATATATCATTATTATCTACACGGAAAAGCAGTGTGTAAGGAGAAACAAAAAGGAAGTGTCTTGCATATAATATGGAGATACTCCTGTGTCTGGAGAAGCTATGTTAAGGACTCCAGATTCAAACGGGCCGGATTAATCTACCATGTCCCAGGTGAGAACATATTCCATGAAGGGGAAATGGCGAGTCTTGGGTTTTCCCAAATTGAGGACTGCGAGCTGGAGTTTCTTTCTATATCTAGGAAAGATATATTTCCAAATGGAAACGTTACCATGGACCTGTAAGCCGAAATTACCACTTTCGTTACTATATGAAGTGACATCACTAAGCGACCGTCACGTGTCGCATGTGAAACCCTCCACCACATTCTGTATCCCTATAATGCATTTTTGAAATCTGTAATTTGTTTTATTAAAGGAGTAAGACAAGGATGCATCTTCTCACCGGATTTATTTAACCCACCGTATATGTAGGCGTAGAAGGTGACCTTTTAACCTTAAAAAATGACTCCCAAAATAGGGGGCCATCTTATACTCCAGGTATAAAATGCGAACCTTAAATCCTGTGGTTTATGGTCAATTGTTAGCATGGAAGATATTTGACGGTAAGCTAAACCTTGCCTTGATATCTACCGACACAAATATTTTCTAGTGAAACAGCTTAATTCATATTATTATAACAAAATAATAAAACTGTAGAGTAATAAAAGTACTCTTACCTTATATAATATATGATATGTTTGCACGAGAATAATAAAATGCATATTTATCAACAGAGAAATTGCAAACTATCGTCACACACTGTAATTAATTGACAGTATCTCTTTTTCCTTTTTCGATGATGTTCAGCAGAAGCACAGCTGGATGTATGTCTCAGGAAGCCATTTAAAGATCGCATATGAGAACAGTGAAACGAGTGGGTGGTTAGCGGGTAAATGTCATTCAAGCTACCGTAATAACCTATCGAAAAACACAGTACCCACTCATGAGATAGATTGGGGTAGTTAATTGATAATCTCATCCCACCGTTTTTTCATTAGAATTCAATTGAAAAGGAAGTATATGCTTACTGAATTTATTTAATACATCTAATATATTTTAAAATACGATTTGTAAGGTGTTCGTATACGGTGAATATAGTCCGAAAATTACATTTTAAATTGTCTTATACGCCCAATCGCCTTGTACGCCAGCATATACGGTATTTAACAAGACGATCCCACGAGAACTAGAAGACATGCCAGGATTTATTATCTGCAGCGATAATCTTAACAACATCAGATATGCAATTGATTCTATGTTGACACCAGATGTTACATAGGAAGAGCGAAAGATAAGTTCCAAAAATAAAGAAAGGTGTAAAGAAACATGAAAGTTTCTTCAGATATACTACATCAATTCTCGTCTATGATAGTGAATGGCTGACAATTTCTTTACAGATGAAGAAGAGATCCAAAGCGACACAGATATGGTTCTCTTGACGGATGCTAAGAATACCATGGATAGTAGGAATTTTGAAAAAAAATGGGAACGTTAAGGATACACACTTAAAACCGGAAATCGGCAGATGAAATTTGAAGGAACGAGTTGCAGGAGGAAAGAAGACCAAATAATATGCCTGAGTGAATGGATGGCAGAGAAAAGAAATGTTTGATGGTAACAAATCAAACAATTTTTAAAATGTTTTTCTTACAATGACGTTCATCCTGTACAAAGCTTAAGAGCCCCTCGCGGTAGAGTAAGAGGCACAGTTTATGGAGATATGTGGGGGAAGATAACGGTTAACCCTATATTGGAATAGATCAAGATTCTAGTGATTGCAGAAGCACAATCATTTAGGACAGTAAGTCGTTATTGTCCATATCATGAAGAATGTATCGACAGAGGATATCTTTGGCATACATGAGCATTTCTGATTAGGGATCGCTCAGGAGAAAGTAGGCCTCCTTATCATCATCATCATCATCCTCATGATCATGATTGTAGAGAAAAATAAATGATGATGAGGGGGGTCAAAAGCCAGCTCTTTTTCTTCTTCTTCGGTCGCCTCAAGGAAATGGATTGTTGTGGCTTCCTTTCTCGGCCGTTACACTGGGCAGTTTTGAAACAGACACCAACTCAGCCGCGCCTACTTCAACTTCCACTTTGTCTGTCTGTGTGTCTGTCAATCCGTACGTCCAACTCTAACACATGCAGTCAGCCGAATTACTTCGCTCAACGTGCTGCTGGCACCCCACTTTTTATGCTATTCCAAGACGGCCAAAATTTGCATGATAGGTCCGCATAAATTGTGTCTTCAGTAGCGGCCATATTTTTTTATTTTTGGGGGCATCATTTTGCAGGCAAGACACGTTCGCGCTCATCTCATGTTTTTCTTTACAATGATCATCGTCATCCAATAAAGATTATGTTATTTAATCAAGCAAGGTGATAATGTCACTAAGATGCAAGGGGCTACTGGGAGTGAAAGAGAAAGAGAAGACTTTAGTGAGGAGAAAGGACAATAAAAGAATAGGAGTCAGGAATTCAGAAGGTGACGTTACATTTAAAATGTTTTGAAGATTGTAGGTGGTAGGGAAAAAGGAACCGGAAAAGCGTTAAACAGATGCGCGAAAAAAGAAATTATTAGTAAAGAACTTACGGTTGTAACAAGCTATTTCAACAGTTAAACTGTACAGTATCATTCGAATCCTTATATCATTGCATCTTGGACTTGCGGCCAGATCATTTTGAAACACCGGTTCCCGTACGATCACCGAGGTTAAGCAACGTCGTGCATGGTCAGTACCTAGATGCGTGACCGCTTGAAAGCTTGGATCTGTGGGTGGTGTGATAGATAATGTCTCGGAATTTTTAATCGGATAACCGTGTTTCAATTCCAGATGGGTTTGTTATATTCATTTACGCGCAAATACCCTTGGGAAAGGTATGAATCCATCTCTTCTCCCCCAGATATGGGTTAATTATTATGTATCACTAAATCATTATTATCTCAAAAAATATTCTTACAATCTAAAAATTCTGAATCTAAATAAACGGCAGAAGCTGTTTATATTTCTGAGATGAGGTATTATTTACTCTATTACATTATTCGGACTATGGTCCTCAACTTTGTCGCCATATTTTTTACAACGTTTCAGGTGGTTGGAATGTCCCCAATGACACACAGCACAGTGGATAAAGGCGTTAGTTAGATCCAGTGACAGGACCCAAAGAGTGTTAGTTTAATACCTGGTTAAGACGGTGGAGAACTTGGAGAAGGGGATTAACACGAGATAACCGATAACTGACATCCATTAGGCATGGCACTTGGAACTAGAACAGTCTACCCAGCGAGCAAAATAAAGAGTTTAGTTCGACATTCCAACCACCTGAAGAAGTCTGGAGCTTACATTGACCGAAACGTTGAGACATGGCGACAAAGATGAGGACAATAGTCCGAATAATGTAAACGGCAGAAGGTTGAAAAACGCAAGAAAACGAATCAATCAATCATTCCATCTTGGAATTTCTCTCTGAATAGGAAATTTAGTCAACGTAGGAAAACGCCTTCACGAGAACTGTTATCATTAACAGTCTTTCTGTCAATGTCCTCGACCACCTTTCCATAACTCTGATTAACATCATCATCATCATCAACATCATCATCATTAACTTCATCATCATCATCATTATCATCATCATCATCATCTTTCCTGTTGATATACGTTTCTGCTTATTCAGCCATTACTTTTCACTTGTATAACTTTTATTTAATCTCCGAAGAATTGTCACCAATATCGTTATTGTCGTCATTATCACATTGTCATTGTCATCACATTGCCGGTTGAACCTGTGAAACATAGTGACCCCCCCCCGTCACGCTAGTTGGTGCTCTAGTGGTTTCTGTGGCAATGCTAGTCACGCGCCCAACGGGATTTGAGTTTAGAACTGTTCTCGTAAACTGGCCGCCAACCAACCAAGAAAAGAGAGGCCAGACGGTTTTGAGAATTTAAGCCATAGCCGGCGGAAAAAGAGATCAAATGACATGTTTCCCAAGAAAGAACGCATTGGTCTCACTTGGCATCTGAACTCGGCTTACCAATTTCACTTTTCGCGCTGATAACCATAATGCGTCTATCCGTCACTGTTATTCGACATTCTTATCAGAAGCTCCATTGTAATTGATTTTTTTTAGCTTTCATCAACTTCATCAGTTTTATCAGACATTGTCTTTTCCATTGTCATCGTCTTCCTGGATATTCCCCTCTACCTCCTTAGAAGAAGCTCCAGTTGTAATCGTTATTTTCTGGTCTTTATTGTTTTTACAATATTATCATTAAGATAGTTTTCAGTACTGTAATTATTTACTACTGAAAGCAACTGATTTTATACGATAATCATAAAAAGAAGAAATAGGTATTTGACATACAACACTACTGAAAATTCGGAAGATTTGGAAGATTCACCATTTTCCATCTTGTGTTACTCCACCTGCATAAACTTGTTAAGTAGGTTACCTGCTGCTTTTCTCATCTTCTTTTTGATACGTCTCATGAGTATTGAATTCCTCAGACTTTCAATTCTCATTTCAATCGTTTCTTTTTTATTCATAGCAGCAGTTTCATTGTAGTTTCGATTCCCCTTAAAACTTCTTCAGTTCATATACGCTCTTCCCTCTCATGATATTCCTAAAATCTGATGATAGAAACGCATCTCTGTTGCAACAAGATATTTGCATAACTGTGTGGAACCCATCACGAACATTTTTAGGTCATATCTTCTCTACGTCGAAGGCGATATTTTACCCGAATTAACATGGATTCTTGTGAAATGCAGTGAAGTGGTTTCCCGTTGCCTTCGCTACATTTGGAATACGTACTGGTTACCACACACGGCTGGACAACCTAATCTATCCTACTAATTAACCTATAGCTATAGGGAGAAGAGATAGATTCATGCCTTTCTCAAGTGAATGCAGCAGATTAACATAAAATTTGAACTCGGCTCTACGATTACATGTTCCGCGCTGATATCCATAACTGAGTAAATTGGACTTTTTTTTTAATTCGGCGTTAAGAGAAGCGCACAATGTAAAATTACATTTAACTATTTAAAAGTTAATGATGCCAAGCAAAAATCTGCTTTTTATAATGCCATGTTCATTCAGAATTTAGAAGAACATGATTCCTAACATATTTATTGGGAACTATAGTGGAGTATTTTACCGTTGCCTTCCCTACGGTTTGGTATTCAGAATTTTCTTTCTATTATATTGGTTGCCACCAGAACTAGAAAGCCCAGTTTATCCTGCCACTTAACTTACAGCTAAAGGTAAAAGAGACGTATTCAAATTTTTTTCTGATGGCATTAGCGTGAAAGTGAATGAAACATATTAGCTCTGAATTTGAACTCAGCTCGACGAGTTCATTTTTCTCTATTGACATTCGTTACACTACCCACAAATACGCTGAATGTCCTGAAGCATTATAAAATATATATATATATGACAGAGAAACACAAACATATTCATACAAATTATAAACTGGAGATACCAAAATCAAACAAGTAAAACAATTTAAATATCTGGGAGGTGTTTTATCAAAGGACGGAATGTGCGACACTGAAATCGGAAGGCGCGTTGGGATAGTGAAAGATGCCTTCCAAAAGCTAAGCGAAGTATTAAGAAACAGAAAAAATACGTTAGAAACAAACAAAAAAATGTTGAAAAATATCATACAATATCGGTCATCCTATGTTGCAGTGGATGCTGGACAATCTCCTCATAGATAGAGAAGGAACTTGTGGCAATAGAAATGTGCTTCTACAGAAAGATGCTGAGAATATCATGGACCGAACATGTGAGAAATGACGAAGTTAAAGAGAAAATGGAAACAAAAAGGACACTTGTACTTAGCATTAACGTTGACATTTTTAGGGAACATAATTTTGAAAGATGGCTTTCAAAAAATTAATACTCACAGGACAAATTCACGGCAAGAAGCACAAACACATAAACTACTTTGAAAGCTTGAGTAAATGGATGGCGGAGCAACGTTTAGGAGCGATAACTAAAAAAACAGAATTCATTAAGAGCTACAAATGAGAGGATGTTGTGGAGAGACATAATCACCAACACCGCGAAGGGACACTGAACATAGAAGAGGCTTTTTAACAGATATATGAGCATTATTATATATATATATATATATATATATATATATATATATATATAAAGAAATACACTCTTAAGGTGTGCTATATTTATGGGATAAAGTGCTCAAAATCAGAGATAGAGCGTGTGTATAAAGGTGAACATTGAAGTCAACACTTAGAAGCGACAGGCTGTTTCATGCTAAATGCAATCTTCAGGCCACGTCTCTCTCTCTCTCTCTCTCTCTATATATATATATATATATATATATATATATAGTTGGCCACTCGTATTCGAGGATACCATATCCCTATTGCATGCGCTTGCTCAGGCGCATTTATGTTTATTCAACACCCACAGGGCCCATCTGTGGTTTATACTTCAACTACGCTGAGCAGACCTTAGTTAGAGTTTCTGGGAAAAAGCGTGTTATCTAACGAGACCAACAATTTAAACAAGGTACAGCTATCGACGGCCCCAGGGGTTCCGGCTGCACAATTTCACTCACAGGGCTTTCCAAAGATGCCGCGTGCTGGGTCCGAGGAAGTCTCTCATGGCCAGAATGTAAACGTTCTGAACACTCGGCCACGCGCCTATTGAAAACTTCACGGAATTTGCACAGTACAAACAAACTAAATCTAGCACAAACCTTTGACGCTGCTGTTTGCGTTCAGTGCCATTTCTTCGATACATATACAAAGGAACAGCTTCGAAATATGGTGGAAACAAAGTAATTTATTTGTCTTGGTCAAAATAATACAACATTTTAGGTAACACCTCTTATGGCTTTTAATTTTTCTATTACAATTTTCTAATTTTGTATATGAGCATGGCTCAATAGATTTGCCACCTAACACGTAGCTGAATTAGGATCTGAAATGTTCGATGTATAATGTTCGATGTACGTGATTAATATTCACTGCATTGTGTGACATTTTCACGTAATCATATGTGGTTGGACGTATGGCGCCCGCTGTCGTTGTTAGTAAGTGGACTGGGACTGTTGCGCCGTCAGTTTCCACGGCTTTCTTGGAACCAATAGAGAAAAATTGTTCTGTCTCTGTTCTTGTTTAATATCAAAGTAGATGTCTTTTCACCAGGAGAAAAGTTTCTTTTTGTGGTGTTAAACTACACAATTAATGTAGTCTTAAATGACTGTTTTTCGTACTCCAAGTAGGGAAATTTACCAACTACTCGTCAGTGATGGAAAGAGGTAGCGAATGAGAGACATGCTTCCAATTCCTAGCAGTTTTAGACCCGCGTGCTGATTAAGAAGCAAAAATTCTCACTGAAATAATCGAGAGAGAATCTTCTTTTACAGTAGTCCCTGGCCTTTTTGTTAATTGGTAATTTGCTAATTCATGGTCGAATGAAAAAAACAAAATAGCGCTATTCTTATTGGTTTTATTTTGTTTATCCTCCCCCCGGTGAAGATTTTTAGACGTTGGCGAATGTTCTAAATTCCTGGGTATCAGATATTTATATATCGTATTTCAGAAACATGACCTATTTCCATCAATACGAACTACCGCATATTAGTTACAAAATTTTTAATTTTCTTTCTCAGATTCTTAAAATTAACCTATTCTCCGCTACTCCATCCCTTCACAGACAATATTACATAAGGGCATTGACATGGGAGTGGATTATGTGCTATAAAATGTATTTTTTCATCATT